CCCAGGTTTCGAATTTCCTCTTCTGATTCCGACGGCTATTTCTAGGAAATACGGAACAAGTAGCTTCTCAGTTCTGGTTTGCATCATCAGATGCTTAAGTTCAAAGAACAAGTTGCAATTCTTAAGGCAATTTGCTGAGCGCAAAGTAATTAACAAAGTATTTTGACACCTCAATGTTGCAACAAATCTTACGCCCTTGCACGAGAAACGAAGTATTTTGGCTTTTTTATAAGGAGTTTTTTAAAATCACGTCCAAGTAGTGCATCATAGGCAACTCTCTGCATTGGGAAAAGCCTTAGATATGCTAGCATAAGATCAAAGTTGCGGCGATTGAAAGGTTGAGTTATGAGCAATCTAAAAACTCAAGAAAAAAAGCGCTTTTAGATAAAAGCAAATCCAGTGCTGCTTTATTATTTCGTGAGTTCTCTGACTTCTCAGTTGTGTGGTGTTTATGAGCTTTCGAAATCTTAGCTTCATCAGTGCAAGTGCACAAAGGTCGTCATTGCGGACGTGCACTTCATCAAACCTTTTATATCCTCGTATTACCATGAATAAAAGTTTTTCGATTTTTCAAAGTTCTAAAGCTCATGTACATATTCCCGCTTAGAAATATGTCGTCTAACCTATTAACTGCTTTGCTGTTTCGTATGAGGTTTCTGGAACTTTGCATCTTCAAAGAAGATTTGAAATGGTTGTGTCGCCCTTGTTAGCTTCACCAAACGTTCAGTCCAATGCCTATTCGTTGAAAGAGAAAATCAAAAAATAGCTGGTATAACTTTGCTGACCAAAAGTAATTACTTCTTTAGAACTTCTTTGCTACTGCATAGGCAGTTTCAGCAGAGATGACCTAAATTTTCGGCCAAACGTCAGTGGAAATCGAAATTACAATGAAAGTTTTGCAAGCAGTTCGTATAAAAGGCTGATTGCAGTTTTTATACGAGAACGAGTTTTCCTGTTTATCTTTAGCTGTTTTCAATCTGCAAGCAACTAAAACTTTTCAAGCTGTTGTTTCCACTTACAGTCCGTGCAATTCAGGCTTGTCATATGCGTCTCTGATTGGTATTTTGTGATTATTGTAATAATTCTTAAGAATTTTAGTAAAACTTTTTGGAGCAACTCTTTTTTTCTTCACTTATTCTGTAGCTTTGTATGGCCTCTTAGGTTAAAGACTAGATGGAAGGTATAAAAATGGCACCTTCGGATCAACATGTATCTAAAAATGTCATACTCTCTTTTTCCAGCATGAAGCTTCTAGTGCTGTTAGCTCTAGTCCCGCTGAGTGTGCAAAACTACGTGCACTCGTCTGGGTACGGTGACAATAACCCAGCCCAAGTGCAGAATACTGCAGTCAACTCGCCTCCTGTCAATCCGCAGGACTATACTGCTAACATATCGCCAGGCAACGTCGGCAGGCCTGCTAGCAGTGGGGGTAGTCAAGGTGGTAATCGAGGGGGAAATGGAGTAGGTTACTGAATATGGCAACAAGACATACATCTTTGTGTAAGCAGGACTATGGTAGTAAGTATTTTAGGGAGCAGCATTTGATCTTAGGAAGCCTTTCTACTTTCCTAGAGGTGCTGTGTTTCCCGGTTCACATGGAATGAAAGTAGTCGGAAGAGAACTAACAGGAAGGGTGGGTTTTTTTAAAGCAGCTAAGAGTAATTTAAGAATTAATAAGACGGTTTTTCCAAAGGGAAGTAAGTTGCTCAACAGAATCAGAAGCTAAAAGGATGAGGTGAAGCCTTGCTAGTATGTGCTCAATGTAATCTTCAACTAATGTTGAGAAAGCCTATGATCTCCCAAAATTACGGCTGCTCTCAAAAGTCCATGAAAAAATGTTTTCGATTGCTTGGCACAATCATAAGGACAATTAC